CAAAGCCTTCAATTTTTTTTAATGAAGAAATGTCTTAAATACCAGTGCTGAATTTCTTCCAAATGTGAATTTAATTTTTTTTTTCAGTAATGCATCATTTTTATGTGACCAGCGAAATCTGCCATGACCTAGAAATTTAAAATTTTCTATCAGCTGCACTTTAAATACATTCTTCTTTCTGAGTCATGCTAATGAAAATGTTGTCCTGAGTACAAAACAGAGCAGTGTACTCAAAGTCATTATTCACCCTACTTGACAACAGAAGCACTCAGCTTCTTTGAGCTGGAATGCATTAAAGGGGAGAAAAAGACATTCAATGAATTATGCTTTTTTCAGCTGTAACACTGAAAACCCTGCTGTCCTATGTTTGCTCCCCAAAGCTGCTTTGCTTCATGCCTTTTTCAGACCAATTTTCAGTGCTAGTGTGTGAATAAGTGAAAAAGCATTGACTCTTTTGGCCATAACAGTTAAGAGAGTATTTGCAGTACTTCCAACTTTGTTTGCATTAGAAGTCAGAATCTCTTTGTGAAGAATACACACACAGAGGCCTATGTTCTGCAGCACTGAAAGATTTTCTTGTTTTAATTCCCTTTCTCATGAGTTATTGCAGTTTAATCAAGTTTTCTGACTCAGCTTCCTGCAACAAATACTTTTTGCTTCTCTCTCATTTTTTATTAGGCACCAATGTGTTCAGCTGCTGCCAGACAAATTCTACCCCCTGTATTTTCACTCAGTCCCAGAGAAATTCCTCTCTCTACAGGAATGCTGAGAGTCTACCAAATGGCAAAACTGATCCAGCACTGTGCCAAGGCAGTCTTTCCCTGTCTCTCTCCCTCATCTCCAGCTGCCTGATTCCATCTTCCCTTTTTTACTGTTCAGATAAGCACCAGGGGAATACAAACAGGAGAAAAGCAAATCGTAGTGCCTTGCTGGGTTAAAGCTAAGCTCAGGCTCACTCTGAGAGCTGGAACAAGGGGCATTAGTTAGGGCAGTGTAGGAGCCTGGCCATGCTCTGTGCTCTGATCAGGCCCCTGGTGCCAGGGACTGGCCACGTGATGTACCTCATTCCCTTGGGGAATGGCTTCCCATTTAATCTGTGAGCAGAGGGTTGTTCAGTCAATTCTTTTGGTTTACTCAGTGAAATGAAGATTTTCACCACGGACTTTAACCAGGGCTGTGACTGAACTTTGATTCAAATGCAAGCTCGTCAGAGGCATTGTCACCACCTCTGAAGACTGGTAACAGCTTCATATCAAATAAATTTTATTATTGCTTTCTTCATCCTACTTTTATCTGATCTTGGAGGTAATTCAAATGAACAAAGATATATGCAATTGCAATTACTACTCCCACTTAGCTACATATGTGGGCAGTCTTATTTCATAATTAGTCTGTTACTTCTGTTTATCATAAAGTTAATATTAAGCTGAACTAGAACAAGGTGCATTTATTCCAGAACAAAAATCTATGTATGTGGATTTAGGAAAGAGCAGTTATTTTGGCATTTGCAACAGCTGTTTAGAAAGCTCTCACAGTTTAAAAAAAGACCTGCACTTCCCAAAGTATACATTTCATGATTCAGAGTAATATATTTTACCAACTGCATTTTGGTTTTTTTCAATAGCGATTAAAATAGATTTTTTTTTTAATGCAGAGACTGATAAACTGTAAAAGGTTGCAGCATCAGTTGCTCAAGCAGAAAGAAGTATTAAAAATGAGAAAGCTGTATTAAAAAGATATATTTTTAAAAATATCTATTAGCATAGGTTAGAAATGTGCTCAAAGGGTTAGGGTAGTGGTTAGGGTTAGGTTTAGGGTTGAGAGAGTCAGAGATCCTACAGCTCCAGGAACACTGGGGCTGGAAAAGGCATGGCAGGGTGATCCTGGCAGGGCCCCAACCCGCCAGCACCACACCACATCTGATTTTATGCTATGTAGTGCCTATTATGAATGTTACTTTTTTTTCCTTCTTTTTTATTTCTCTTTGTTACCCCTAAATCCAGCTTCAGCTCAGCTTTTCTTTGATCACTGGTGATCACAGCCATCAGGGCAGCCAAGCCTGTGCCTTGCCTGCTGCCTTTATATCCCTGTATTCCTCAGCAAACCTCATGCCCCCACTTCTCAAGGCTTCTGCAATTGCTCCATGCCTGCATTTCTCTGTGCTGCATCACTGTGCTAATCATAAGTCTCTTTTTCTACACAGAATAACTGTTTGTTACTTTTGTTTATATAAAATGATGGTTGTACCACACACAGATAAACAGAAGAAAAACAAATTAGCCACAGACCTGGTTAATTATGGAAACTGCTGTCACAGCTAACCAAGGAAAAGATACAGAAGGGTCGAGAGAAGTTCAAACAAAGCAAACCTGACAAATCTCAGTCCCGAGGCCTTGCACATTCAGTACAAAGCTTATGGCAAATTACTGAGAGTGGCAATATCATATTGCAGGGTTGCATGTTTCAGCTCCAAAGGTCATGAGCAGGTAAGAGCAAGCTGCACACACTATCACATAATCCATCATGTTTGGGTGTTTTTTTAGAACTGAAAATGCTGGCATTTTTTTCTCTTTTGGGGTAGAAAAAAAACATGCAAGAATTAGAGTCTCTGTTACCTAAACTTTAAAAAGTAGAAGTTAGCTCAAATATTACATATTTTTTACAGATAAAATTGCATGGCATATTGAAGGGTAGACAACAAGGGTAATGACAAGGATAGGCAAGGACTGAAATCCTTGATGTCTAGCTCTTTGTCTAAAGAGAAAAGAAAATCCACAGCCTCCCCAGCCAAACGAACGTCAGACTCTGCTTTGAGATGGATAATCTCTTGATGTCTCTTTCAGTCCTATTGTTCTCTATTACTAGTTTGGTTTTTTATCTTAAATAAAAAATTCCTTGTGCATTCTCAAAATAGACATTTTTTTAATCTCCTTTGTGTTTTTGATAGATCACATGTGATACAATGATGCATGTCTTCATAAATCCTCTAACTTGGTTTAGGTTTTGCAAAATTTCCAAGTGGCCTTGTTTTTTCTAGTTTGCCTTTTTTTTTTTTAAAGTCATGTCAATCTTAATTATATATATAAAGAATTTATAATTTCACAATCACCTATAAAAATAGTGAATCTTGTGGGTCTTGGACTGCTATCACTTACTGTGTTTGTATAGTTGACACACAGAGTATTTATTTCTCATTTAGAAAAATACCCATTCCTGAATTCTCCAGTTGGTGTTTTGATATTACTGTTATCTTCTTTTCCAGTCACATACAATCTGTTGTGTTCCTGACTTGACCTGACGTCTCTTTAATACCAGTGGGCACAGCCCTCTAATTCATCACTTCCTTCATGGCTGCAGTGCTGCACCATGGTCTGGACAGCACATCTTGATAGACAGAAGGGAAATCTCTAATCCTATAACATATCCTGAGCGATTAACTCAAAGTAAATTAGAGGTAGCAAAATCTACCTTTTAATGTGCCTTTTAAACACAGGATCACTCCCAATACTGTAGTATTGAATACTTTTGTCAAGGCTTGGCCTAAGAATCTCAAGACTGCAATAGAGACATAACTCAGACCCCCAGTACCATCTCTATTCCTTCCAGTGATTTCATTTCAATAACAGAGCTCTCCTGTTACTTCAGTCTAAATTTCAGAGCTTGGCTGATCTGATATTTTGCCACCCCTATCCTGAGATCCATTGTATGCACAGAGCTTTTGCAGCTCATCTTAGCTTTGACCAGAGACGAAAAACAAAACCTCAACAACAACAAAACCTCTCATGATTTCCCTATTGCAACCATGGTTGAAGTTTGTGAGGATGAAAAAAAAAAAAATCAGCTCGATATTTAATATTTTATGGTAATGGTTTGACTTGGTTCTTGTCCAAACAGGTACAAGATCTTGAGTGAGAGGAAATCACAGTGGTGTGTCTCATTCCAGTACGTCCCTCAGGGATGGAGATGCATTGGTCAGCAGCAAAACCTGTGAAATGGAAGGAGAAGACTGAGGGAAGCCTCTACTCACTTGGGCCAATGTCTAACGGGATGGGCTCTGCAGGGTTATTGTACAACACCAGCTGGAAGCCAAATGAGCAATTAATGATCACACAATGTTTTGAAGTTGTAGAATGCAATTTATTGGCCAAAGTAGCTCTTTGGAGTGGGAAACGGTCTGAAGATTCTGTGCATTCATTGATCTTTCTGAGAACCATTTCACACTAAAAGGATAATGAAGGGAAGGTAGTTTACAGAGTGAGGTTTCTGCTGCAGAGCTGCTCAGCAGCACCAGAAGGGTCACACTCTGCATTCAGTTCTGGAATAAAAGCATACTTTGCGAAGGAATTCACCTTTAAAGGGCTGTCTGCCTAAGTGCTCTTCTGGAATAGCTCTTGCAGAATAATGCGGTTTTCAAAAGCTGTGCCAGCCACTCCCTCTGTATATCCACAAAGCCTTGTGCCCCCAGGATTGGATTTTGGTATTATAAAAATTGCTTGGTTTTCAAAAGCTGTGCCAGCCGCTCCCTCTGTATCCACAAAGCCTTGTGCCCCCAGGATTGGATTTTGGTATTATAAAAATTGCTCAATGTTTCAAATGGGGACACTGCGAGCACTCCCGTGGTGTGCTGATGATGGCACAAGGTTTTGTTGCTTGGTTTCCTGACTTGGCTAAGAAATGGCTTGGAAAAGGTGCCCTTAACCTCCCACGGGCAGAGGGTGGGGAAATTTTTGCAAGCCCCTCGGAGCAGGCTGAGAGGCTGCTCCGATCCCTTCTGCCATTCCCAGCCCACACAAGGGGCAGCCAGGAGCTCCTCCTGCTCGCAGGAGATGTGATGTCTCCTTGACATGCAGTCCCGCACCAACTGTGCCACCAGAGGCGAGCTAAAATGAGCGATTGCTTTCCAAATACTGTCTCCAAGCAGCCTGCAGATGTCTCACAGAAGTGTTCATATCCTAAAAAGCACCTTTCCCATCCTTTTAAAATGGCAGATGAAGTCATGTGTATGACTCAGCCTCATTTTCTTGTCCTGTGACTCCAGGCAAGTCACTTCTGCAGCTCCCTGACAGGTTTTGGCCACCCAATCCAAACACGCCGTGTGTGCCTCGTTGAGGAAGACGCGTGAGCAGCACCCTGGAAAAACAAAAGGCAAAGCTGCGTTGATCTAAACGCCTTCCAAACCAACGCGCTGTTAGCTAACGCTGCCTTTCCCAGCTGTAGAGTGAGGGCAGTGCGGTATTGCGGGCAGACGGCGATCACAGCAGCTGACAAGCCACGGGCGAAGGGCGGATTGGCACAAGCACTGAGGCGCCTCGCGGGGCCGCTGAGGGAAGGGCCCGCCCTCATGGCGCCCCCGGGCCCCGCCCCGCGCCGCCGGCGGGAAGGCGGCGGGGCCGTGCCCTCAGGAGCGGCGAGGTGGGCGGCCGTGGCGAGCTCCGAGCCTTCGCCCCGGGTACTGCACCCACTTCCCCCCGGAGCTGCCCGGGCACGAGCTGGGGATTTAATTACTGTTCTGATTTTGGTGGGGATTTACGGGGGGAGGGAGATTCAGCGGTCCCTCGCCCTTTGGGAACAGAAATGTGCGTCTCGTGAGGAGGCAGCTGGCAAAGAAAAGCCGAATAAATCTGTGCGTTGATGACGATCAATGAGTTATTTTCCTCTGAGGCAACAGGATGGCAGGGCGGATGGCCCCCGATGCAGGAGCCGCGCTCTGCTGCCGTGTCCTGCCCGCCCGAGCCCAGCGGGAATTGCGGGGAGTGGGTCCCTGTCACACCCGCAGGCGGCAGGGACACCGCGGTGTCCCCGTCTTGCTCACCCGCCCTTGGGCCCTTGGGGTGGCACAAGATTGCTGGTGGTTTTTCATGGATCTGCTCTGTTGTCTCAGACTTTCACCCTTTTATCTGCTTCACTGCAGGCAGTGGTGACTGGAATCCTTCAGGTGTGCCAGCACACACCAGCAGCAGGACAACACTTCACTAAGCAGGAGGATTTTTTTCGTACCTAAAGCTTTTCATAGGGTGAGGTACAATTTCTCCATTTTCCCTAATAGCCTGCAGGAAGGCACAGGTCTGGGTCTGCCTCGTTTTTCTGCTGTGAGATGCCAATTGCCTAAGGATGGGGAGTAGGAGAAGAATCCCATAACCTGCTCAACTGTGATTGAAGTCCAGGATTATGTGCATTTTGTGAGGATGTTTTTAATGAAGAAGGAGATTGTAATATAGTTTTAATGTCTCTTGTATTACTTGTTTTTCTTCCTTCGGTATTTGAAGCTAGGGGATTTTTCAAATCTCCCAAAGTATTTTTTAATAAGTGTTTTGCTGTAATTATGTGAAGGCATGATTTGTCACTCCATAATTGTCAGAGTTTTGAAATAGAAATTAAATATACCATGATACTATCAGAAACAACCGATTTTATAAGAATGTTTCCATTAAATGCTAACAGAATAAGGTAATTCTGAAATTCTGATATCCTGTTCCTTTCTCACCCAGCTTCTATACACACAAGATTCTTGCAAGCAAATTAGTATCCATTTACAAGCTGAAAAAAGGCCTTTTGCAGATATTTAGCCTAAACTAGCCCAACCTCTGTTAGACACAACCTATCTTATAGTTTGTGGATTTTGTTAACAAATGAGCAAGTAAATATATGCACACATTTTGATGTGGTGGTCTACAAAACTTTTGATCATCCAGAGCTAGAACACCAAGTGTAAGCTCACAATTTAAACAGAAGCAACTTAACCCATTTACAAAGCCACAAAAATGATAAGAGTAGTTTGGTTATAAGATCATATTTCTAAGGAACTATTTTGTATTCAATATTCTTGCCTTCATAACATTTGTGGAGGTCACACTTTGCTCATTTAACCACGGTGTCACTAAGTGCCTATTCCAGTTCTAGGCCTTGCTTAAAGGAAGTCACATAGAGAGGGCAGTGAAGCTGTGCTGGAATACAGACATGGCAAGTTAACCATGAAAAAACATGAAATGAGCTCTCTGTATATGGGTTTACATAATAAAAGTTCCAGGTTTTTATTACCCTTCTTTTGTTCTCTCCATGCAAGCATACTCCTTACAGCCATCACCTGCACGTCTTCAGCATTTATTGGTCATTTTGAACCTCAGCAAGAACTTCAAAACAAATACAGCTTTAATAATCTGCTCTCAAGATATATCAGGATGAGGGGTTGTAGCCTTCTCAGCACTGTTTTGTGAGTTTTCTGTCACATGAAGATGGAGAGGCTCAGCTGTTGCATTGCCTTTCCATTACCCATTCTGTCTGCAACTATGCTGACTTTTGTTATAAAAACACAGACTGCCTTTAGCATTCTTACCAGAATAAATTCCACTAGTGATAATTCATTTTATTAAATGTTCCCACCTCCAAAACTCATCTCTGATCCAAGATTCTCACAAAGCAATGAGATCTCTTTTCCTAATGTCTTTGAAGCCCTTCCTAGCCAAACTGGTTCATCTGAGTGTAAAGCCATAGATTTTTATCCTTTTGGCCTCATAGGTGAGATAATGAAGAGTTGGAAGCAGAATCCAAATTCAAATCCATGTGTGATGTCATACTGACATGTTTCTGTAGTTCAAGGACATCTTAAAAGTCCTTTTACAGACATTTAATCATTTATTGCCTCCCATGACTGTCTTTGTTTACATTTCCCACTAGTGATCAATACTTTATTGCCTGCTCTTTCATGATGAAGGCCATGGAGGATCAAGTAGTGCAAGAAGAACCAGGATACCAGGATGATGAGGTAAATTTGTTATTGTTTAAAAACTATGTGCAGGAAACATTTCAAGGTATTTTGATAGTGTTAAGACACCCATGGAGGGACAGGAGGTCCCCAAAACCATCAGGGAGTTCAATGCATTTAAATTTTTTTTCCAGTCTGCTACCAAGAAAATCTCATTCCCCATGTCCCTGTACAGCCTGGCTCTCCAAGTAATCTTCATTAACCTTTCAAAAGCTGTGCACAGTTTTTAATGGGATTATCATTATTTCATCATATTTTACACTTCTGTATTAAATGCAAGTTAATTTTCTGCTGTCAGTTAATTTTCTGCTTCTGAAGAATGATCATCAGCACAAAAAGAGTGAGACATTATGGCAGAAAAGCTGCAGATTATGATGGTGCTAACACAAGTTTTATTAGCACAGCAGAGGATTAATTGCCTGTGAAGATACACTTTATGGAGAAGATGATAGGAAACATGTAGGCCTTTTTGGCTCACTATGGCTTTGCTTATTTCAGTTGTCCAACAAGTTATGTATTATTTGTGAAAAATCAGTGTTTACAAATCTGAAACAGTCATGTAGTTAGATAGATGTAATAACAAGAAACAGCAACATCTATTTTTTTTCTGCTATTTTGTTTAGGAATCCTTTTTTCAGGATATTGACCTGCTGCAGAAGCATGGAATTGTAAGTATTAGCAATCACTTGATCACACAGAATTGTCCCTCAAAAGCTTCTGTGAGGTTGCTTCCAAAATGGTATACACATTGATGCAAATAACTGAAATTCCTCCTTGCAGTAAGTTCTAACTCAGTCAATGGAGACAAATTTTGCCTTTGGTGATAAGACAGATTTTTAGAAAATCTCATTCACATCAGATTCCTAAATAAAGTGTCAAGATACTCAAAGTATTTAGCACCTAGCTCTCTTGAAAAACCAACTGCTTGCTAATTTATTTGAAAACTGTGTGATAGATTATTTCCTGTTCCTGCCAATCTTTGTAATTACTCCTGCATTTTTGGTGCCTGTGAAATTACACTGTGACAATTGTTACCATACTATTTTCAGTACGCTGGTGCAGGGGGTAGAGTAGGAGTGAGGAAAATATTAGTAGCTAGAGAAATAAATGTTAGTTTTCTCCATCAAATGTGAATTTCTATCATTGCCACCATCATCACATAAACATCACCTATTTATTTTAATTACAATTATTATATGTTTATCTAGGAGACTGGCTCATGGATTGGACTCCAGTTATAATCAGAGGTTACAAAAGCAGATTAAAAAAGTTAGGTTTGCCTGAAGTAATGTGAGATTTGATAAAAGTGACTGCAGACACATAAAAATGGGAAGGACATACCACAGTGACTCATCATTAGTCAGCACTGTAGTTACTGTGCTGACCACGTCAGCAGTGCAATTGTTGGCAATTTTTTTTTAATTGGCAGCTCATTGGCAGTTTTAAAGATAGTTCTGAAGAAGGATCACATGGTTGGGAGCTCAAACTATGGGGCAACATAGGAATAATAAATAAATTATTGCTTAAAAAATTTAGCAAGCTGATCAAAGAGGGTGACCTGAGCTGGAAGGGAGCTGTACTACCCTGTCAGTGTGAAACAAGGCATGGCATTCACAGAATGATACAAATGTATGAAAGAGTTTGAAAACTAAGAATAATGACTTAGGCTGTTCTTCTGGGGTTGTGAAGGTTTTCTGCTCCTTTCCTTCATTTCTTTTCTTTCTTCCAAGTGGTTATTCCCATACCTCAGAGGAAGTTTTTGTTCTCAGCTGTGCCAGCTAAAAGCTTTGTGCAAACATAGGATGACCTATATATGTTAAATTCATTTACCTGGAGAAATAATGTTTGTGGGTTTAGAATTTTTTTTCAAGGAGTAGAGAGAAAAATATTTACTGGTGTGTGCCCAGGAACAGAATCAGATTAGAACAACTGAGACTGTGATTCGGTGATCCAAAGTATTTGGTAGGGTTTAAGGTGCTGTTGCCCCTCAGCCTCTGCTGAGTGTCACGTATCACAGGATGAGAAATAAGCTTTGAAATAAATATGACTAATTTCTCACACAACTCCCCACCTCCCTTTTTATGCTCTATGTACCCACACACTCTAGATAAATAGATTATATGTCCAGTTCATGGTTTTTTTCAAAGAAAAGTCTTGGCCAGAAATGGCAAATTGAGGCATTATCCCACACCTTTCACATAGTATGTTTTCTTGTGAGTAATCTGTTCTTGCTTTTACATTACAGTGATGTCAGAATCATAAAATGAGATGAGGGAAGGTAAAATATGTCAGTAGGGTGCTGTCTGAAGTTGTACTGTTCCAAATTTTTTCATAAATTTTCAGCTCACTCCAGCCAAAGTGTCAGTCAGATCTGCAGGATACATGTGTTTTAAACTGGACATGCAGAAGCAGCACAGCAGTTAGACTCAGTTTGCAGTGATCCATGTGAATCAGCTCCCAACTACCCACCACCAGATTATCTGGTTTATAGATTATCTGTGCTAAGGGACCAAGGACAGACTGTTACAGGGTGTCCTAGGTCCACACTATCTGAAATAATTCTGTGCTGCTTCTTTACTATCAGCTTTGACCTAGAAAAACTGGCACTGAAAGGGGAGAGGTAAATACCCAGACATCTTTCTCTCAAAACCATCAGGAGCTGCTCTCTGCACCATAATCCCTCACACCAGTGTTACTCAAAATTTTGTTTTGTTGGTGTCACAAACTACACAGTGAGGAGTTTTCTGTTTCAAATCTGTTTCTTTCCTGGTGAAAACATAGGCATATAAATGTAAACTCAAAATATTTTGCAAAGGTTTACTTCACCTTCTACTTGTTAACTGTCCTGAGTTCTCACAGAAGGGAAATTTCTTTGCAGAACGTAGCAGATATTAAAAAGCTGAAGGCAGTTGGGATTTGCACAATCAAAGGAATCCAGATGACCACAAGAAGGGCACTGTGCAACGTGAAGGGGCTCTCAGAGGCCAAAGTGGACAAGATCAAAGAAGCTGCAAACAAGCTTGTTGTAAGCCAGTCACTTTCCTGAGAGTTTAACTTAATGCTGGCCTCTCCAAAATGCTGTGTAGCATTTCTCTTAGCAGATTTCACACTGCATCATCAAAATAATTTTGAAAATTATTCTTCCTGTTACTCTAAGGTATAATACTTTATCCTCCACAACCACCAGACTAATGCTGTGGTGCTTTTTATACCCAACCCACAGGAATGAGGCTAGGGGAAAAAGAAGAATATTTATGTGGAATATTGCACTTTTAACTTCAGGTTAAAGCTAAAATGAACCTCTTGTGTCTCTTTGGTCTTCCCTAGGAACCAGGCTTCCTCACCGCCTTTGAGTACAGTGAAAAACGGAAGATGGTATTTCATATTTCCACTGGCAGCCAGGAATTTGAGTAAGCTTATCTCTTATATCTTTCCTTCATCCAAATGTTCCCAATAATCATTTTAATTGTCTTTCATGAGACACAGAAATACAAGGGAATAAATACTCAGCTAGGACACATAGATTCCCCTTGCATTTGGAGTTAGTGCTGGCTTAAAGAAGTCTACATCAATAAGCACCAAAACTACTTTTCTGAGAGGAAAATGGACTTTGTACAATCACTGTAAACAAATAGTTGGCATCCAGAAATCTTGATGGTATAATTTTTTTGCCTATCAAAATAATCTGCAGGTTTCAGGTGAAAATTACAAGTCTTCAAGTCTTCCCTTGAAATATTCTTATGGAATGTTATTTTCAAATATTATTTTCAATGTTATTTTCTCTCCTTTCTTTCCAGTAATAATAATTTGTATAGATCTTTCTCTTGCACACAAAAAGGGAAGTAAAGACAGAGATAATTCTTTATGAATCAATGATCATTTAGTGCCCTGCACTTCATGCATCAAGTGAGGAGCTATAGGGCAGAAATTACTTTCCTTAAAGTAGTAAAAATGTCTCTGTTTTACTTTCTTTTTGTGATTTTTTGGGTTTAACTATATCATAATCCTCTCCCTTTCTGCAGTAAACTTCTGGGTGGTGGGATTGAAAGCATGGCAATCACTGAGGCCTTTGGAGGTGAGAAACCACAAATGAGTTAAACCAAACAAACAATTGCAACTTAATTTAGATTTTAATTCAACTTGGATTACTTCTATCAAATTTACCACATTGTAGTTACAAAGATGAGTATCTGCATGAGTGCAAGAAGAAATAATCCACTTCTCTTTATGTTTTCCCCTTTTTCCTCTTCATTTGCTTGCAGACTAAGTTTGAGCTGAAGTAATCATTACTGGGCATGCTGATTCAGCACAACATAGCATTACTAAGACTATTACTAACATGCCAGAGTTCTCCCTGATGCAGTGTAACAAAATTGCCACAAAAGGTATTTTAGTTATGCACACTTAAGGTACACTGCATTTCATGTAAAGTTTTTAAATTACAATTAAGCTACTGTTACAGTATTATTTACCAATTATAATTATTTACCAATATTATAATATTTACCAAATTAGTTGGTGCTTGATACTTCAGCAATAAAGAGTTCATAAAACACAGTACTCTTTCCTTCAGAAGAGATAAACTGGAGACTAATGTGTTTTGGTAGAATGAGATTCACCAAATCAGTTGGTGCTTGACACTTCAGCAATAAGAGTTCATAAAACACAGTACTCTTCCCTTCAGAAGAGATAAACTGGAGACTAATGTGTTTTGGTAGAATGAGATTAATAAACTTGTAAGCTTCTCCTTGATTATTTTACTGGAAATGAAACTGGGCTAGGTTAATGGAATCAACCATTGCTTCCCCACCCCGCCCCCTCATTATCACTTTTCCACAGGTGCCATATGGTTTTAACTTCCACACACAAGAGAATGACTTCAGCAGTCAAGCACGATCAAATTAAAACATTTCAGATTTTGCTTTTCATGTAACACATTTCTCCTGCACAGAATATGATTTAGAAATTGAGGTTAAATGATTTTAAAAGGTAGAGGGTGAGGTGAATTTTGTAAGTAAGGGTTTCTAACTGCAGTAATTCCTGAATCTGTCAAACTTGGAAAAATAAACCTTGACTCTTCTTTTCCCTTCTCTTTTTTAACAGAGTTCCGGACAGGCAAAACCCAGCTATCTCACACTCTTTGTGGTAGGTATTACACCTTAAAATAGAGTGATGGTTCTTCTCAGTGAAGGCATTGTTTACCACTGTATCAGAATTAAACACATAGAGAAAAGTCAGAATCTTTTATTTCTACAAATACAGTGAAACAGACCTTGGTGACTCTTACCTCCATAAACTGTGTTTGAGTAGAGAACTCATATAAATGGTTATTTTTCAATGCTGCTCACATCCATGAAAGCTTTGCCATATGAAGAGGGAAGATAGACCAGTGAAACACACCATCTGGAAAAGCAGAGCACAAATATGGGTCACATGTAGATGGGGCATTGCTCAGAAAAGGGCAGAGGAAAAAATTTTTCTCAGCAACTCTTTGACTGTCCTGGTTTCAAGAGGTTTTGCTGAATATGACATTCTGAAAGGGCACTGAAAGGGTACTACTGGCTGTCAGTGACTGCATAAACAGACTTTGGCACTCACCATATTTGGGCAGTGCCAAAAGCAGCAGGACTCTGATTCCCAGAGATATCTCTCAATGTGTAAAGAGAAGTAAGCAATAGCTTATATAACTGTTAAGGCTGCTGGAATTACCAGACACTGGGTAGGCAAATTCTATTAAATTAACCCCCTATATTGTAAAATGAAATATGGCATGTTCTGGAAAAACAAGGCCTCTTCTGGTTAGTACAGTGTAATGGTCAGCAGAGTCATACCCTTTTGCATGAATGATTACAACTGGATTGAGTATTTTAGCTTATTCACTCCGAAGAGACTACACCCACAATCAGCAGCTATTTGCATATCAGGAAAAATTCATATCCAAAGAATTTTTGATCATATGAGTTACAGCTGGAAAAAGTGCCTACTAAGTCAATAGAATTAATTGGGCAGAGGATAAGAGGTGATTTTGAGTGTAAGAACTCATTCATAATATCCCTAAAATACACAGATTTAGTGATGGTACTGAGTTAAACAGTTTTGACACCATTAATTAAATCTCATCTGATGGGCAATCGAGAAAAGCAGCTTGAATTTATTCTCAGGATGGCAGTAAGACAAGATACTCCTGATTTTCACATTGATTAAAACTGACAGTTGTTTGTGATACGGATAAACAGTTGAATTTTATTAAAAAAATAATCATAGATGCAGTAAGAAAATATTTTTTCCGCTTTTTCATTTTAACCTTGTATGCTTCTCTGTAGTGACAGCTCAGCTCCCAGGACCAAATGGCTACACAGGTGGAAAGATTATCTTCATTGATACTGAAAACACTTTGTATCTTTTTGACTGTTAAAAGCTATACGTGTGATGAACTGGAAAGTTAGTTCATTTTAGTTAGTCATAAGGAAGCTTCATAGATGCAAAACATGACTGGCACAGAAATCCTGGAGAGCACAGTGTGTAGTGGCCCACAAGGAAGTGAATTTTTCTTTTGTCATTTGATGTAATCCAACCTGGAAAAATTACTCAGGAATTAGATTTTATTTTAACTGGGTCTTGTTTGTTTGTTTGTTTGTTTTGGGGGGTTTTATGTTTTTGTGATCTAGTAGGCCTCCTACAGGTTATAGCAGCTTTTCTATTCAAGATAAATTTATCTAAGTACTAAACACTATTTTTAACATTTCACATTTGCAGTAGACTGTGTATAAACAGGTTTTGCTCACAGCTAAATTCCTAGAGCACAGATATCCATATGTCAACCCCCCCGCCTCAAACCCTAAACACAAAACAATTACCATCGTGAGCCCTAAACTATCTTTAGGCTACGTGGGACAGCCTGAAGACAAAAAGTCAGTCTTCTCTAGGACTAAAATAAATATTCTTCTTTTTTCCCCCCCCCCCCCATAGTCCTATTTTGGAATGGAGTTTTATTATTTTCAGAGCATGGTTTGCACAAGGAGAAATCCTTAACTGTGACTCATGCCAGCCGACCAGACCGCCTGCGTGACATTGCCGATCGCTTCAATGTTGACCACGAGGCAGTGCTTGACAACGTGCTGTATGCACGTGCATATACCAGTGAGACCATTATGGCAATTGGCATGATAGCTAGGGTTTTTTCCTCTCTGGTTTTTTCTCTCTCTGTTTCCATTTTAATAGTTCTCAGTTTATTAACACTTCTCAGTTTCTTAACAGCTCAACACACTCTCTGTCACAAGACACCGCTTTAAAACTTCAAGAAATTTTAAAATAAAACTTCTTTAAGAGTGCAATATAAACATAAATAATATTATTAAAACAGTTTATATGTGTCGTTCAGTTCAACACTAAATTAAAATGTATACATTGCTTTTCAGTTCTTAACATGACAAACAGTTGTCTTCAGGCAGAGTGAAGATTTTCACAAAGAAGTTTTGTGAGATGGGTGAGAGGAAACTGGAACCTGCAAAGTAGATTGTTACTGGGCACTGGGTTTAAAACTGCTGGCAATGAAAATATAACCAGTGCATACATTTAAAGTGGAATTTTAAAATTCAGGCTTTTGTTCCTTCGGAGTTCTTTCTGATCCTAATTTCTCTTGGCAACTGCTTCCCACTAGGTGAGCATCAGATGGAATTGCTTGACTATGTAGCAGCCAAGTTCCATGAGGAAGCTGGTATCTTCAAGTTATTGGTACAAGACTTCTGTATGCTTACTGTTCTCAGAATAAATGTTCCTGTTTTCTTTTGCTATATTTACTCACCTAGCATGATTACAATGCAGATCATTGACTCCATAATGGCACTTTTCCGTGTGGATTTCAGTGGTCGTGGAGAGTTGGCCGAACGACAACAGAAACTAGCTCAGATGTTGTCAAGGCTCCAAAAAATATCAGAAGGTATGGGAAATATTGCAAGATTTGGAAAACATGGGCTGGAGTCATTACCAGTAGCTGTTGGTAGCACAACCACTTAGTAGTCCAAGTGTATTATCAATCAGGCACTGGCCCAGGGATCTTTTCTCTCTTTACACCTCTGTCAGTTACCAAAAAGATCAAACTGATAATATATTATTTCAAGATGACAGACTGAGAAAACTTAAGAACTTTCCAACATTTAGAGTTTTTCAATAAATACTGTCAGGCCCTAAATGAGATAATAGGTTGTGGAACTGGACAAATACTCAGTAAGAGTAATTGTCTTCCCCAAATTTCAAGAGTCTAAATACAAAAGAAAGACAGAGAGAAGAGGATGAAGGCATAGAGAAATAAAAAAGCCATGCCTCTTGCCACTTTCTCAGTACTTTGCAATGCTTTGAGGGATGATGACAGGATGAATAGAGTTCCTTCTCTTTGGAATGTCTCAGAAATGTTGATGAGGAATGAATAAATGCTTTTTTCCTGAAGAAAAAAAAAAAAAAAGCAAACAGAGAAAGGGAAGGAGAGGGAGCTGAGGGCAGGGAGCCAACAGAGAATAGATGGGAACTGAGAAAGACTTGTTCACTGGAATTGTAAGAAGGGCTCATTTTCAGTTATTACAACTGAAGCCATGCAAGAGCAAAGGCTATGTCCTGATTAACTGCAGCCATCAGTCATAAAGAATATTTTCTTCTCATTCATTTGAAATTTGAAGTGCTTCAGCAGAAACCTTGCTTTTACCATGGATGAGAGGATATTTTGGAATTCTAATTGAATGAATTCTACTTTCTTTGCAATGTCTTCTCTTGCAGAATATAATGTGGCTGTGTTTGTGACCAACCAGATGACTGCTGACCCAGGAGCAACTATGACGTAAGATACTTTATCTCTCTCTTTAAAAAAAATTTCCTATATTTTGTATTACATATTTAACAGAAGTGAGAACTGAGATTGTAAGGTGCAAGTGCCACTGAAATGAAAGGTCAGATTGGTCATTGTTCCCTGTGGAAGTTTCTCTCAGTTTTTTGGAATGAGCTTTTTTACGTTTATCTGCTGCCTGGTATGGTGGTGTGATTTCACCGTGACTTAAACAAAGAAAATGAGCTATAAAAATATTGAAAAAGCACCACATTTTCCTCTGGAGCAGCTTATATGTGATATTTAAGGTGTGTATTTCTTCAGCCTCTTGAATGTAATGACAGGAAAATGATGCTAGCATTGAACATATTGAGACAAGTGTGCTAAAGCTGAGTTTCTAATGTATTTCCCTATTGATTATTCATTACTGAGTTGTATAGAGCTCAGTCTGACAGTTAATCACAGTATTAACCTCTGGAATTTGCACAGTGATCACCACAATTTTCTTGCTAATTCAGCTTTCAGGCAGACCCAAAAAAGCCCATCGGGGGCCACATCCTTGCTCATGCTTCAACTACCAGGATCAGTTTGAGGAAAGGGAGAGGGGAGCTGCGTATCGCAAAGATCTATGACAGGTAAATCACCTTTCCCTCACAGGAGGGAAGGTGATGAAGTTCAAGGTATTGAAACTTTCTGGATTCTACATTGGGAGAAAATCTGAAAGGACAAACTAATTAACAGATTAAACAACTCATTAAAGTTGTCTTGCACATTGCATACATTAAATAACATAATCTTTCATCGTAAATCCTACTACATGCTCAGCCCTTAATGAAGACCATCAAATACTTTGGTAGGACTGGTGGTCCCTCAGCAGGAAAATTCTGGAGATGTTAAATTCCTAAATTTTCCTGACACTATAATTTCACATTTTCTCATCCTGATGATACTGATCACGTTCTACATTTTGCACATAGGTATAAAGGCACTGAGGTATTCCAGGTTGCTGACACCCACAACATTTTGGAGACTGTTTCACAACTGCATTGTACATGGAGAAACCCACAAGTTTCTTATTTCTTTTTCTCCCAGCCCTGAGATGCCTGAAAACGAAGCCACATTTGCAATAACTGCCGGAGGGATTGGGGATGCCAAAGAATAGGTTAAAAAATGATGTAAATGTACAGCTAAAAACCAGCTGGGCAGTTGAGATGAAGATTTGTGAAAGGTCAACAACCACCTGGCTGCATTTGTAGCTTTTGGGAGATATTTAAGATATTTTTGGGAGAAAACTGGGATGGACTTTGTACAGTTCGGTTTTACTGAACTAAAATTTTGGTCATTTTTGGATTTTTGATTTTCAGTTGAACTTTTAGCACGCAAAGATTTAAGCCATTCGATTGTGAATTGTTCTTAGAATCCTTTTCCTATCTTTTGTGAAAATCAAACCTGTCCTTTCACATGGGAGTGAATATACTATTTCTTAATTTATTTCAAAGAGAGTGTCTAAGCGGTAGAATTTAACAGTGTGAAATGCAACAGAACTGGAATAAACTCAGTTATAAAATTGACATATATAGATGGAAAAGGCAGTGGGAGGAACAACAGCTCAAGAACTTGACGGATTTTCATGTACTGTAGAGGAACAAGTTTTAAGAATATGTTTTTAAACCTTTTTATCTTGACTAGATAATGTTCATGTTTTTATTTAGCATTTTCTACTTTTTGGACAGAATGTTTTAAACCTGTTCTTATTAAAGTTAAAAATAAAGACTATGAATTAGAACAGAAGACTGGCTATGTTTGGGTGCTTTGAATTAAGCTCTCCTCTCAAAAATCTCATTGATCTTTCATGAGAAGAATGATCTGGGTGTAACCCACTACGTTAAAACCTTTTCACTAGTTCTCTAAAGAAACAAACTTCATATAATTGACTTGTCATTCTTCTAATATAAGTAAGACTATTAAAGATTACTATTAAGTAATATTCAATATTGTTACTATTAAAAAGAATAAAACAAATCCTGTGGCTAGGTAGGAGAGGCTGGCACCAGTGCTTACACCAAGGAAAAGGCACTTAACATTCAGCTTGCTGAGGGAGCCAGCCAGCACAGGAACTAGCAGGAGATGTAGGTCACAGGGGGCAAAAGAAGAAGCTGGGAATAAAGAGGGGAACAGTGCAGTGGGGGCCAAAATAACAGTTCCTTTTACAATATCCCCAATGCTCATGGAATTGCTTGTTTTAAATAAATTAATACATACACACACACACACATACATATGGATATAAAGGGGAAGTCTTTGTTTTCTGGTAATTACAATGAGTCTGATTTTGGTATCTAGTCAAACAACTTGTCCTCACTGGCAAGCAAAATAAATTTTTTTTTTGTTTAGATTACCAAATGCATGTAAGATAACATCAAATAAAAAGGCAGCAATGACCAGAAAGGTCTGACATTTTAGCCAGGCTTTTCCTTGTGACAGACCTAGAGGGCTTGCCTTCCCTAAGTGGTTTCTTAACAGATAGTTGATATTTTTCCTGAGGTAAAGCACTATTTTTCTTTGTGGGAAAATCTAGAGAGCTGTAGGCTGGAAAGCTGGTTCATCTGGGAGAGCCAGAATGGGTCAGCCATTGTAATTTAATGCAATGTCCAGAGCTTTGCATGTGCCAGGCTTTTCCACACTAGGCATTTTTATCCAGTGGCCAAGTACCCAGTGTCGGTGAGAGCATGCAGTGTCACTTGACTCCCTGCCACCCACTTAAAAGACCCAGGTTTCTTACAGAAACATTCTTGCATTTTATTTTAAGCACTCAGATTGCTTTTTGCTTTCTCACACATGTGATACATACATACATATATATATATAGCATGTGAAACTAAAATGGTAATTTGCGTGTCGTTCTAGGCTGTTATTTTTATCCAAGGGTCTGAAAGTAAAGGGGCCTTGCCTTCCCTTCTGCCAGTACAAGCAGTTTTTGATAACCTGAGAGCCCAGAAATGACTGCTGATAGCGATAACGCGGTGTGGGCCGGGGCTGTGTTTGGCTGCTCTAACCCCGCCACCCATGGGACACGGCTCCTTGTGCCAGGACACAGTGACCTGCGACAGCACACACACAGCACAGAAGGATTTATGGTCTGTGCCACGTAATCGTCTCGTGGGTGATTCTGCCTTTCAGCGAGGAGTCTCTGGCTCGTATGGGGAATTCTCTCCCGGCCTGCCGGCGCTGAGGCGACAGCAAACATCATGGCCGCTGTCACTCTGCTCCTGCCCCCGCGCCGCGCCGAGATCCCCCTACTAATCTGACAGGGAACGACCTCGGCCCGCCGGAGCCGCCACAGAGGTCCAAAGAGCCGCTCCCGCCCCGCCGCCCAGCGTCCCTTTATTGTTCCGCCATTGTCCCATCATCGTGTCCTCAACCCGCCGCCACCTCGGCGGCGCCCGTGGGCGAGCAGCCGACGAACCGTATTCTTCAAACCGTCTGCGAATCTAGCGTAACCCTCCGGCCCGGCCTGCACGGGCCGCGTAAGAATGTTACACCATGCGCACCGGGCTCTTCCCGCCCTATGCCGGCCTGAGTTAAGCACCTTGCGTACGCCCTGCACTTACGTAACGTGCGCCTCGGCCCAGGTATTCCCTGCCCTGCAGAAAGGGTTACGGAGAGTGCTCCTTGCGCACCTGACTTTGGGGAATAGCGTTACGCCTCCCCTCCTCCTTCCTCACGCAGGGCCCCGACTCTAAGTAAAGAACGTTACGCACTTTTCGTAGCCCGCCTGACACTGCACGGGGCGGCGTTTCGCCGAGCGCGCTTAGTGCGCAGTTGAGTTCCGTGAATAGGCGTAGGTGTTTCGGAGGGCCGCAGTTTGCGCAGCTCCGGGCTGCCCGTAACGTAAGCGGAGCGGGCCGGGGCGGCGGCGGCCATTTTGTGCCGGGAGCGCGGAGGAAGAAGACGCTGGTGTCTCCACACTGCCCGGGCCCTGGAGCCGACCGAGAGCCCCGCCGTTCCGGCCGCTGACGCCCAGCGGGTCTCGGACCCTCTGACCACCTCTTCTCCTTTTGTGTCCCACCAAAGAGGCGAGGTG